AAATTTCAATTTATTTCACGCGGCTGTCATTTATTTAGTAACTGTGATTTGTCGTTTTTTTTTAATTATTTTATAGTGATCACTATAGTCTAATGTTTAGAATGTCAAAATATGTTCTCTTTTATTTTAATTTTGAAAGTTTTACCCAGACGATCAATGAAATAAAACAGTGTAGTGACGTGCCTAGTAACCTGCTAAATAACGAGATAATTCCTACGTCAAATTCTATTTTGTCCAGCGACAGTGTACAAACGTTTGCCGCTGACGATCACGGTGACCACCTACACCAGAACGAACATATTTCGCATCTAACTCAACCCCATGCAACAAAAATTGATACTATGTGTTCATTATGGTCCATTCCTCCTCGACGAACAAGTACATAAGTGAAAATTTAGTCAAAGATGAGAAAACTGCAGAAGAAATTTGCCTTATTTACACGTATCGGCAATGCAAGCTGCCATGCGACTTCCCCTTCTGACGTCACAAGGGGAATTTCTGTATGCAAATAAGAAGCTAATGAGGAGCCTCGTTTTTAAATACACACAAATTAAGTTGCTGTGGATTGAGTTTAAAGCACATTTTTTCACTTAAAAAAATAATTCATGCTTATAAATTAATAAAATTAATAATATTTATGTATCAATGGATAATTTTAGGCGTGAAAATAGCAGCCATTTCACAAGCACTTTAAGGATTGCATTTCCAACAATTTTAGCAATTGTCAATATACATGTACAGGGAAATGGGTTTCTGTGTCCATTAGCGTTAGATACCTCGCGGGTAAGCGTGGAATCGATTTCACAATGATAAGTTCTAATTGCTGCGTATAATGTATGTCTGGTTGGGTTGCGTAGAATGAGGGCGCACTGACACAAATACTATGCGAAAACAATGGAATGGATGAAGACGTCAAAAACTCACTTTTGGCGGTTCACAAAACGTCACGAAGGTTGCGACGTAACAAAACTGGGAGCATACTTTAAAATATTGCGTATGATTTATACTCTATTGCTGTTAAACGCGAAGCAGGTAAAAGTCATGGCCTGAATTCAAATTATCTCTTCATCATCCATAAATCTTAATTTTGGCGAATTTTCACTGTTAGAATAAATTTTGATTTTGCTCAAAAAAAAAAACGCCAAAGTAATATATATGCAAATTAGATTTTGCAATTAACGGGTTCATTATTTTAACGACTTTCTCAATCATGTTTGCGATTGTCTTTGGTATGATAGCGACACGTCTCCCATTAAACGAATGATTTATTTAAGCTACACATTTGACCCTCCCGCTTTAAAATGTATAACCAATTGAATGAATTGTAGGTTTACGTTTTTTTAAATCATGTGACTTAGCTTGTCCTCGGTGAACAGCGTCATTTTCACCGCTATGCGCTGAGCTACATACAACGGCGAGAAGGTGTGAATGCGTTTTTTTTGTAGACATAAAGGGGGAATGTCACAGGGTCAACAAACACGTACGTTTCCGATCATAACTACACAATCAAAAGACCTAAATTATAGCACTGATATGAAAATTGGAAAAAAATAATATAAAATAAAACAAATTGCAGCTATAATTGAGCATAAAAATATGGATATTACATATAAATACACATCGTTAAACTGAAAAATATGGTAATAAAAATGGCCATTACAGGGTGTTGCATGTTCCTAGGGCAATACGATGGCAATGGAGATTCTATGCACGTGGTCATTCAAAATAAGAATTATAATAACATATTTTATAAGGCGTTACATCACATACTAAAGAGCGCATGGCCCCGATATGGTTGTATGATCAATGTTTTCTTGACGATTAGAAGTACACTTAGCACATATACTAAAACGTGGAAATGTCACATTAACAGGAATCCATTAGCCCGAATACTAACAAAAACGTGCAAATCACTCAAAGTTTAGATATAAGATTAATCACGTAGTTATTTGCTATGCTTGACTGCAGATTCGTTGTGATCCGAAGAACGTAACTATCGATGATGAAGCAATACAGGTGAAATGTACATACAAACTCACGCTTCAAAATAATGCATACATTTATAATTTTCAATTTTTTCCCATTGACTCTCAGTATATAATTAAATCACCCAAGTTTTGTAGGAACTAAGTTAGATATTTAAATCGAATCGGTCGATATTGAGAAATAAGTTGGCGATGAATAATACACCACACACTTTCTAAAGACCACATGAAGACAATTCGTTCACTAAATGTCTTCGTCCTTCCTAATATTTACATTTATATATTTCACACTCATTGTGCTATAGTACATTGTCAACATTGTCAATGCTGATTGGAAGAGTGGAACATGGAATTGAATAAATCACAAAAGACCATTTTCAGTTCAATTCAGGATCCCCCGTTATGCGTGAAATAGAACGTGAAAACAGAACAAAACAAAAATCATAGCGTGGCAGTGACGTCAAATCATCGCGTTGGATTCGACAAAGGCAAATATATAAGGGTATTTTCATGCTTAATAATCTACTGTACACATTTGATGATAGTCAATGAATTAAGTGTATTCCAACGCAAAATTCCCCTTTACGACGATATGCTGGCATTTCGACATTGAATTATATAAAAAAACAAAATCAAAATCGTTCGATTTATGCGGCAGACGTTTGGTCAACACCTTTCACGCAGTATGCCAGATCTCGCATTGAACTTATAGAAAATACATAAGTATATACAAATGACATCGACATCAAATGGTGTATGCATGCAGGACGAACCACACAAACACAC